CGCCAACAGCTCATCGCGAAGCTCGGCTGCAGTTGCAGCCGCGGCCTCCGCCGCCTCTGTCCGCTCGTGCAGGCTATCCAGGCGCTCGGCGTGCGACTCAAGCAGCGCCTTGAAGTTTGCCAGCGCCGGCACGACCTCCGAGAACGCGCCCTCCGCGCCGCCATGCCCGCGGCCCCCGCCGCTGCCGCCGAGTGACGCGTGCGCGGCCTCGCCCTGCGCGACCTGCTGAGTCAGCAGGGCGACGCGAGACGCTGCGTCCTCCACCGCGTCGCGCAGCACCGACAGCTCCGCCTCTGCCGCCGCCAGCCTGCCGCCCTGCCTCTCGGCAGCCTCCACGGCCTCGGCCTCGGCAGCTGCCTCCGCCTCGGCCGCCGCCGCCGCGGCGGCCCGCAGGTCCCCCACCACACGAGAGAGCGCCGCCAGCTGGTCGCGCGTGGCGGCCCCGGCCCGCAGCGCCGCGACCTCGGCCTGGAGCTGCACCACAACAGACAGTGGCGCGGACAGCACGCCCGCGACACTGGGGCGCCGGCTGGACGCGTCGGCTGCGTCCTGGAATTCGTCTTCGTCATCCTCGCCCGCCCCCTCCTCCTGGTGACGCCCCGCCTCGGCCAGCGACGCGCCGCCCTCCTCGTCCGCCGGCCCCAGCTGAGCCTCGGGCGCTGCCCCCGCGGCCGCGTCGGCGCCAGCGCAGGCGCCCCCGGCGGCCCCTGCGCCGCTGGCGCCGCGGCTGCGGACTTCCTCCAGCACCTGAGTCAGCGCGTCCCTGATAGCATCCACGTCCTCCGCCGCCGCGCTGCCCTCGTTCACCTCGCACACCTGCCGGCCCAGCATCGACAGCCGCGAGGCCAGCCCGGCGATCTCAGAGCCCTGCGCGGCGACCTCAGACTCGATGTCGGCCAGGCGCGCCCCGAGTGCGGCCGCCGATGCGGCCGCCGCCTGCTCCACGGCACGTTGGCCGGCAGCGGCCTCCGCCTCGCGGCGTGCGAGCTCCTCGCGCTCTTGCTCCGCTTGCTGCTGCTGCTCCAGGTCGCGGCCCGCCCACTCGTCCCTCACCGCCTCGACCCGCGCCGAAAGCTCTCTGCACG